TTACATTGGTACATCCCCAAATGTCAAATGACGTTTGTGATCCCTATCCTATTATATTTAGATTCTTTTACTGCACTCACCTCCACAGCATCAACTCAAAAAAGAGCCCCACAGGAATCAGCACTTAGCAGATAATGGTTCAGATCCATCATTCTTGAGTAGATAGGGCCAACACACCTCTGCTGCCAGTAACAACAGTACTATCTGGAACTTGAGAGGTCATCGCCCTTTAGAATATTGCCAGACTCAGAAGCCCCACCCTTGCTAATCGATCTGTTGTAGACATTTGCACTATACATGGCATTATAATATTTAAGCACCAGATTCAAAGCTGGTGGGGTGCTTGAAAGAAATGTCCAGCAGAGGTGGGCCTGGTACTAACCTTTTAAAACATTCGTTTTAACCTCAATCTTTGTTTAACTTCACTTTTCTCAGTAATCTCTTTGTGACACTAGTGCGAAATTAGTGCTCTAATTATTTGATATCAGTTAAGGAATTTTCATTGTTTTGTCATTAGAAAATATTACACCTTAATGGAAAATATTATTTTGATTTGTCTTTAGATAAAGGTCTGGATATTCTGTTTGTTTTATATATATATAATATATAAAAAATATATAATATATATATAAAAATTTCAATTTATCTTTTTCTGATAAAAAACAACTTCACTATCTGACGGCTATCTCAAATCCCTAATCTAGGTTACTTAGGCAAACATATACTGTGAATATATACATACGTACACACACACACACACACACACACACACACACACACACACAGAGAGTATACACTGCACCCTATTTTAAACTCAGTTGAATAGATTTTGAAATGTAAGCCTCATTTTCTTGAGGGATATTGTCAAGCTCTTTGGCACAGCTTCCCTGGTCATCCTTTCATTAAATGATTTTGTAACGCAGAGTGCGCCACGCAAATGTGGATTTTGAAATAGGCTATTTGGTAGACAGATTCAACTTTCATTAGGAAAAAGGGAATTCTAACTAGAGATGATAAGGCAGAGACAGCTATTGCTGGGGTAGCAAATTCTTCTATCTATACATGTATTGTCAGAGGTGGACCATATTTCTAATATTTATGAGGTTCCGATTAATATGTCTTTAAGGATATGTGTATGCTGGAGTTGGCGGAGTTATTACAGCACATCTAGCTATACCCAACCTCACTTTGATTTATCAAGTGCAGTTAAAGATAACAGTGGTGATGAGACAGCATGGACTGCAGTACAGACTAGGAACACAAATACCCAGGGTACCAGGTAGGCCCGTGCTGAGTCCCGTGTCACTGCACTTTTTTAGCCATGTGACCTAGATTAAACTTAGCGTGAGTACGCCTGCACGAATTGCACTCACACCTCTGATTACAGTTAGACATACCCTGAGTGTCATAGAAAAAACGAATGTAAAACATTAACATCAAATAAAGAACCAACTCTCCCAACCTATCCAAAATAAAGTAACCCTGCTTTCAAAGGCAGGGATCCCTGGCACAAGAATCAACCCCATAATCATGAGGAAGCCACCTTACCAGGTGAACAGGACTGATTCCTCATTGACCGAAAGAATGGGGATGGAAAGACATGAGACACAGAAATCCAAGAGAACAGGGAAGGGGCCCCAAAACCCTCAGGGATGAGTCTCTTGCGGGGCGTGTGATCTGAATCATCCAAGGTAGCCAGTGAATTATTCTGGCAGACCACTTCTGGGAGAGAGTTCCAAACAAACAGGGTGTGACATCATGTTAGTTCGACAATTTTTGTTGTTTTGTTTCTTTATTTTTTCTCAATTCTTCCAGAAGAGCATATTTCTCCGTAGCTCCACCAGCTAGCCTCTCGTTCAGAACAGACTTTTTTAAATACACAGTGATCCACCGTGTTTTACATTGTGATGCCATGCTCCAGTTTGGACAAGGAGACAAGAAATTTCCTGAATTTTAGAAGGGACTGTCTCTGGTTCATCATTTTACAGAATATGAGGGAAATATGATAGAAATCATTTCTCTATCAATGCAGTGAGAACAGAAATTAGCTACAATGGAGGGGGAAATTATTAAAACATTGCAAATCGATGACATCTGACATATCAATCAACTAAGAAATAAACTCAGGGGTGGCTCAAGCACTGGCTAAAGGAGCATTAAGAAATATGTAACAGTGTATTCTCTTCCAGATACAATGACGGTATATTTTTGAAGACAGTTTCTAACCTTTGTCCATATTCATAGAATCATAGAATATCAAGGTTGGAAGGGACCTCAGGAGGTCATCTAGTCCAACCCCCTGCTCAAAGCAAGACCAATTCCCAACTAAATCATCCCAGCCAGGGCTTTGTCACGCCCGATCTTAAAAACCTCTAAGGAAGGAGATTCCACCACCTCCCTAGGGAACCCATTCCAGTGCTTCACCACCCCCCTAGTGAAATACTGTTTACTACTA